AAAACATGTATTCCAAGATAAAATTACCTTGCATATCTTAAACCAATTTTCAAATTAATGAATCATACATTTTTCTCATGGAACCAAATTACATATGCATGCACCAGTACATATATTCATTCATGCAGAACCTACATATATTCATATATGTAAATAATCTACTGATATTAATATCAATATAATGCTGATAACCAAATTTAGCATATACTGAGAGCACATTTGCAACAAACTACAAAGTTATTTCTCTTATTTCTGTCATAGTTAACACTTAACAGGACAAGATAAGAGAGATCGAGTTGGGATTTCTGTCATTAGAGTTTGATGGATATATGCTAAATTAAATTATCTATGAGTTGGGATTTCTAACTTTTAAAAGAGATCAGATCAGTGTTTAACAATAAACAGTTATATATTACTATTTCTGCAACTTGGTTCATATGGAAGACAAGGTGTGCCACCATTTTTCAAAACAAGTTTCAATCTGCAGAAAATGTATCAATTGTTATTGATAAGCACTTGGACAGGTTGAAAGTTGTATTGATTCCTATTCACAACACACCCACATTACATTAACAACACTTCAGGCAGATTCTATTAACAGATCAACATGGACAGCACCTCAGCCTGAGCATCTAAAAATCAATGTCAACACTTCATTTATCAATGCCAATTTACATGCTACCATGGGTTTTCTTATCAGAACTTCAAATGGAACCCTTTTGACTGCAGGAACAAATTCAGTCTATGCAGCAAGTTCAGAAGAATCAGAGTATTGGGGAGTCCTTTTTTGCAGCCAAAGAGTGCCTCAGACGCCAACTAAGGAAGGTGGTCATAGAGTCGGATCTGAAAGGGGATGCTGATTATATGGTAGGCCTGAATGTTAGCTTATCATGGTCTTCTATTAATATTTTAGAGCAAACTAAACCTCTATGTAATATGTTTGAGACTTTTTATGTTATGTACTGTAATAGGGAAGGGAACCACTGCGCTCATCTCATAGCTACGCAAAGGGATAGGAGCTCAATGGGTCCCTCTATCCTATGATATCCCGCCACCATGGTTGAAAAACCAATTGGTCCTGGATAACCTATCATGTAATCTGGATGTTGCCTAACTTTATCTATCTATCTAATGACTATTAAAAAAAAAAAATAGATAATGCAAACCAGAAATGGATGAAAGGACAAGATAAGAGATCAAGTCGAGATATTCATCTCTGTCCTTAAGACATTATTCGCCCCTTACACGTGTTGGACGGTGTGCTAGGATACAACGATCTATCATTCGTAGTGTAGCAGCACTTCAAACACTTAAAGACGACAAACCATTTTTTTGTTATACTCTTTCATAACAGGACATACATAGACACTAGAATTTGAAAAACCAATTGTTTGAAAAGTTATTTTCAAAGACTAGGAAATACATTTTTTCAAAAAATCTATTTGAAAAGATACTATGACCCAATACAATGTACACATCTGTTGGGAATAAACACATCCATTTGGAATGGATGTCTACAAAGTATATATGTGTCTATTGGGGAAAGACACACCCATTAGGATGGGTTGGAACTTGGACCCAATATAATGAATGAATAATACATACCCATATCATCTACTATAATATTATCCATGATCAGTGGATAACTTAGGACTTTAATTTCTCATTATTCATATATAAATGTTTTGACAACTAATGAATAATACATACCCATATCATCTACTATAATACAAGTTATCCATGATCAGTGGATAACTTAGGACTTTAATTTTTCATTATTCATATATAAATGTTTTGACAACGTACTCAAACATTTCCAACAACCAGTTCATAGGTTCATACCCTAAGGAACATATTTTTTTTAATGTCAAACATTTTGACTCATCCAACTACATTTTACATTTGGTTGAATTACTGAAAAATACAATGTACTTTCATATTTTTTACATTTTATATAATGTAGAAAAAAATCATGCCAATTTATCAATGTACTTTCAGTTTTTTTTTTTCATGTTATGCATTCTGTTAAATACAACTAACGTTTTGCTTAGGTGTTGAAAATTTCCCTTCGTGTCACTTTGT